ATTGTTGATACCGGAAATGTGCTTAATTGTGATTGTGAAATTAAGCCGAGCTGCAATGGCCACCATACGCCGCATTATTTCAAGGACAACTTTGCAGCGAGATTTATAGTGTTCCCAAGCTTGCGAAGCGCCGAGATTATCACAGTGGAAAATTACTTTCCGACCGCTTAACTGTTGTCCCCATAATGTCAGAGCGACAAGTATGGGAATCATCTCAAGGCACTCGATTGATAGCTGTGCATTAAGTATAAAGGCTGGCCAACGTATCTGAAACCGTGCTCCACTGAAGTATCCGGCGCAACCGATGGTAGCAGACGCATCAGTGTATAACTGAATCGTATCACAGCGAGTCCAGTCCGGTTCAAGAAATTTAGCTGTTCCGTTCCATTTCGGGAGAAATTCAAGCCACCAGTCAACATCTCTCTGGAAATCTTCACCGAGCTTTACTTCGTTTTTAGTTGCACTCTTGACCAGTGACAATTGCGAAATAAGCCGTCTTGTGAACAGCCGACCAACAGGCACGCATTTAGAGGCGAACATAAGAGAGCCTATTAAGCTTTGCAGTTCAGTACGGTTGCATGCGGTTTTAGACTTCCACGTGTTAAGAAGAGCAATGATTTCATTCAGTTTTCCATGCGGTAAACTAAACGTTTGTGCAACGGAATCAAGTACAATTCCAAGAAATTTCAAAGAGGTAGACGGGCCTTCAGTTTTCTTAGTAGCCAGAGGGACACCAAGCGCTGTGCACAATTCGGTAAATTTAATCATAAGCGTGGAGCAGAGTTGCTTATTAGGTGCTGTTGCAAAAAAGAAATCATCTACATAGCGCAGCATAAAGATATGGCCACTGACATTCACAAAAATCCAATGTACTGCATCTGAAATTAGACAGAATAGAAACGGTGAAGAGCGAGAACCAAAAGGAAGGACAATATCGAAATAGTAATAACCGTTGCACATACGAGGGTTGTTAGTTTTGTTCTGTCGTGCGTATATTAGTTATGAAATTAAAAATATGAAATTATTATTAAAAAGTAGAGCATATCATAACTGTAATAGTAGGCTAATGGTCGAGTCAATGGCCGCTCTCGGTGGCAGTCAGCGTGAGTCAGAGAACGACTCACTCGCACCAAATTTAATTCGCAGTTAAAAAATGGCGCATTAACACCTGAACGTTGGCTTGCGCTATTTCGCATTAAAATTTTAAAAAAAATTGGGATGCAACCCATTGACTATCTGAAGTGCTTGTTATGTTGGGGATTAAATGTTCTTCTGCGTGAACTACTGACCGCTTGTCTTGTCGTTTTTATTCTGGAATTTTAACAAGGGATGGCGAGAGCAGATCGGAACGGTCTGTTTGTTGAGGAACCTAAAATAGCAAGCCATCCTGTTGCGCTTGGCAGACACCGATCCCCAAATGTGTTTGTCCGATGGATGGACAGGGAATCATAGAGCAGATCCCCAGTAACAGAATCTGTATTGAGCGTGGATCTGATTTTCAGCAAGGCGGAGTACCGTCGGGCACCACTTGCGCTGACTAGTGGTTACGGGTGCTTTTACAATTAATGCTCCTTAACAAAGCCAAACTTCTTTCATTTAGCCATCAATTCTAAGACTACACTCACGACAGATCCTGATTTGCTTGGCGCCATACTTGGTGGAAGCAGCAGAACAGAACAGGGTTCTGTCAATGGAGTGCGAGACCAAGAGCCAAAACGCATTCGAAGAAACGTTTATGTTGGTGCGCCTCGCAGCAATGAATATATTTGCAGAAGCCTTTTCTGTCGGAACTAACTATCAACCGCTTACAGTAATCTGCAAATACCTTGACAACTTTCTTTGAAAAAACGCGAAAAAATGGAGGCGGGAGTTGGTCGACCGGTGTAATTGGCACCACAACGGACCCAAACCAAAAGCCACTAAATATTAAAAAAAATTGTTTTGCTTAATCCTTAGTTCGGATATTCATGTAACCTATATATTTGATAAGCTTGATCCTGCACAGGTTCAAAATTTTTCCGAATGGGAAAGATTCGTTGCAGAGAAATGAAATATCAAAAAATAAGAAAATTAAACGAAATTTCCAAGGTGTCTTCGTTACAAAAATTTATAACTTTTTTGTATCATATTTACAAATCTGGCAACAGATGAAAACGATGCATTAGAAGTTTAGTAATAGTTATATGAAAATAATATAGTAATTGCAAGAATCCAAAAATAGATAAAACTAATACGACAGAACATAACTAACAACCCTCGTATAACCCAATAAGTGCCAATCAGCAGGTCTAAGAGGGACAAGGCGAAAAGCATGCTGAAGGTCAAATTTAGCCATAAAGGCGCCTATTCTCAACTTTATAAGCATGCGTACTGCGTCGTCCACTGTGCAGAACGCAAGTGAATAATCGTCCTTGCTGATGTAATCATTAACACTTTCACCTGGAGGCCGGGACATATCCATCAATATGCGGAATTTGCCGTCCGGCTTTGGTTGTACACCTAGCGAATTAACAATGAACACTGGAAATGGCGGACTGGTAAATGGACCCACTGAATGCATTAAGGATATTTCCGTATTAATCTGCGCTTGTAAATGCTCCGAATACATGCGGGCAGATGCGGCATTGGGTGTGGACAAGCTTCGATTAGGGCCGCGATAGCCAATATCTGCGCCGTGCCGTAATATGTGCAATATATAAGAAACATATTCCTGATCTGGATGTTCGATAAGATGGCTTGCAAAGGCTTCAGCTTTCAACGGGGTAATGATGTCACTGGGCACTGTTGCTTGCTTTTAATTTGCACTGGAAATCGCGGTCTTCACGTTGACCACAGTTGGCGCATCGGTGTTGACGACCGTATCGGCAGAACAGCCCGGCAGTGCAGTGACCTTTATTCCAGAGGTGGCACACTTCGTCCACTTTTGCTCCCCCGCTACCAGCGGGGAGGCTAAGAAACTACTGCCCAACCCATGAAGGACGACGGTTGCTGGTGCTGTTGTGCAATGTCGGACATTCAGGTCTGATGTGTCCGAATTCTAAACAATTATAGCACTGAACTACAGTATTTTTCACTACACCGCCTGTGGGTTGACCAGCGTCATGCCCAAGTGGTTGCATTAAATACTCGGTATAAGCATCATCATTTCTGCGTAACCACTGCATTGCATCATTCGGGTTACGGCACACAGCTAACCGGAACTGCCGGTCGTAGGCAAGCCACTGGTCAGTAGTGATTCCTTTCAGTGCCGCTATCTGCGCGATATGGTCTACGTACTTCATCATGGGTAGGTCCAGCTCAGGGTATATGGCACACCGATACATTTTCAGCACTGAAAACGCTCTCATCCACTGAATAAAGTCTCGAATCTGCACGGTTTTACCAGCTGGATTTTTTGACGTAGACGGCATTTGAGGAGCACAGCTGAGCAGTAGTAGATCGGGAAGATGGACGAATTCCTTTTTACTGAACAGCTTCGGCAGCAGAGTATTTTCGACTGGTAGCAAGAGACTCTTAACGTTCTGCGGTAGAGCCTCAAGTACTGCTGCAGCTTTCCGGGTTACAGCTATAGCACTACTAGTACCAATGAATTCGATCTCAGTAGCGCCATCTGTATTGAAATCTTTACCTGGATCGGAAACAGGAGACATGTCCCGTAGGTGGAGCTGCGGTGCATTTACTTTGCCGGCGTCCTGGATTCGAATCTTGCGAGTTCTTGGTGAGAAGGATCGAACGCTATCGTCAGTAGCAGGGACGACTTTCGCTACCGACGCCGATAGGTCCGAAATTTGCTTTTTTAGCTGAGCAAGTTCTTGTTCCACCGTTGGTTTCTTTTTTGTGACACCTTGACTAACGCCCACACGTCTTCCTGCAAGCCGCTTGCTTCGCGTAATCCCGCGACCGGTGCCACGTGGTCGCCCGCGTCCGCGGTTTGGAATGTCAGGTTCAGGTGCCATCAGAAAAAATAGTATAATTGCAAAACGAGAGAATAATAAGGGAGCGGAAAGATAATATCCACCGGGTAAATGTGTAATATATAGGTATAAGCAGGAATATACAGCTGGAACTTATTCACAGATCGTCAATCACAATGACGTGAATAGGAACGTCCGTAAATTTGTCCGTAAATTAAAAAAACAATGCAAACCGAAACTATAAATTCAGGATGCAGCCGCAACTGATCTGAGACTTCGAACTTAACAATCTGTATGCACGTATCCGGAGTAGCATCAATGCTAACCCACAACAGGACTGTTGCTAAGCAATGAGTGCCAGTTCAATACAAAAGAATCACTTCCGCTCGAGAAAATTAACCATAATTAAATGCCACATTTAATTTTACATTAACTTGAGACAAAGGCTTCAATTACGTTTTTGCTGCTGCTTCGAAGTCCCTTTTTGCTTTTTGTGCTATGAGATACCGATTAACTGTTTCCGATCGCTGGGAAAAAAATCCCAAACACCTTGTCGTCGCCTGACGCCAATGCCCGTCAACGGGTTAAGAGATTTGTTGACTTTATCCTTACTTTCACTGGCGGTTTCATGATGTCTTTAATTTTTGTAATCTTAGAAGTTTAGTTTACTGCCGATTAGACGATAATTTCAAAATTGGATAAGCCTCAGTTTTAATGTATAAATAATAGTGATTGTTGTAATAATTTAAGTACGAAACAAGTATGTGTTTCTTAACTGAAAATCCGAATAAGCGCGAAGCATCTAAGTATTATGAATATTTACGCATGCTGCACTATACGGTGATGCTGCAAAAAAACACCACGTACCGCATCGAACCAATGAATTAGGTATGTGAATTAAATTTTGACAGAAGGAGTGGTTACTAGAGAACTTTTGCGTATCCTGGGACACTAGCTGCGCAGCGTTCTACAGGCACGTAGCGTAAGACAGGCACATGGGTTTTACAGGCGCAAACGTGATAAAGATTTGTTTCTTGACGCAAATGGACTTGCGCAATTAAAATATAGCTGAATATTTTGATTTAGGACCGGAAAATATAACGAAAACGGATATTCTGGAAGTCGACATCGAAAAAGACACTGCATTCCGAACTTCTTCCGTCCGAAGAAAAATCAAGGAAGAAATTATTGAATATAGCAGTACAGGCTGTATTTCGCCTGACAAATCCGTGGAAACCGCTTCGGAAATTTTTGGGCGTCCATCCGAAATTCTGTCCAGAAGCGGCCGCAGTGCAAGATATCATTGCCAGATTTGCCGGTTATCCTGGGACAAAGAGGAAGCGTTCTTGTTGCATTTTACCCAAAAAGAGCACGAACAGTTGTTCGCCTCCGGGGTTTTCTTATACTGTACAGGATGTAAATTTAAAACCAGAAAACCAGTAAAAATGGGTAGACACATTATTGATTACCAATCACAATGGGAGCTGCGCGACGGTAGCATGCATTCCGTTAAAATTACCCATTAAGATTCTCGTGTTAAATTAAGTATCGTTTCCTTGATATTATGTGTGAGCGTTTGCTAACCTATACGGTGGATTTATCGTGATTCGCGGGCATTTTGCCGGGGCTTGCGAAGTTCGATGATTTGAAAAACGGTGTCAAATTTTGCTTTTTTTTTGCTGTTTGAAATTGTTCTGCAGTAGTAGTATTTTGCTCGTCAATTTCTGTTGATAACAGAGGCTAATAATTTTAACTACTGTCGAGAATGCCCGAGAAAAGAGAAATTCCATTCAACCTGCAGTAAATTATAGCGAGCAGAATAAGTATGCAGCATACCTACTCTAACATGCAAGTGATGCAACGTCTTGTATGTGCAAAAATATTTATAAATATATATGTACCACATTGCGAAGATGAATTGGTGACGATTTGTGGCTGCAAATTTGAATCAGCTGCTGCATTTTCAGCTGCTTAGTTCGCAGGAGACGGTCATCACTTCAACCTTTTCCTGTAGTAACGTGCAAAGAACCTTGGGGCACTGAACAAAGGCGAAAGCGCGCCATTGATGACGTAAAGGCAAGGCAGAGGCAGAACAAGTTTTTAAAGCAATAATGTGTTGATTTCCAACCTGCACACAGTTCAAGCAAATGCCATTTACGCTAAAATTTGGTTATATCCAATAAGTAGATGATGTGGAATAACTCTTCTAGCTCTATAGATCTCCAAACGTTCCCAAACCAGAAGCCGCGTTTCCGCGCTGAAATTCCACACTTATGCGTTGCCACAAAAATTTAGTGGCACGCGCTTCTCCGGTTTTCTCTTTGGTATGCCGGCCAACTTCATTGATTAGCCGGGTACCGCCGTCGCAACCTCAGATTGTCTCGAAAGCCAATGGTTGGAAAATATATCGCTCGGTTGGTGCCAAATCTGGGTTTCCTCTTGGGGCTTCCGCGCTATCTGCTGCGGATCCCATTGCTTCTGATGAGTAAGTACTAAGCTCCATAGGCTGCGGTAAATGTATTTCGGCTGATCATCCTTGAAAATCGGTGTACTATACTAGCTCGAACGAAAGAAAAAAGTTATAATTTGTAATCATAAGAGTCATCAACCATAACTTGTCTAGCCGTGACACGGAAGCGGAAGTAGCGCGATGGGTTCACGCCATATACTCCGTACCGCCATGGTACAAGCAGTGAAAGGAGTACATGCTGCATGTACAAGCCGATGCGGATAATTAGCACGAAAGAACACGTGAAAAGTCTTAATTCTTTGGTTAAGCTAAGCTACATATTACGGCGCGCCACGCCCAAAGATGTTACCGATAAATGGAATTGGCATGGAGGGGCATACCAAATATTCAGGAACACTCGTATTAACGAATCACAATAACCGTAACAGCCTGGTCGATGATGGTTAGACGAATATGAGGAATATCGGTGCAAGTGCAACAGAGGCGATCTGACTACGGAGCACAGGTTTCTACTGCAACACTTATAGTGTAAGGGCCACCGTTCAAAGCCCTAACAGTGCGCTCAGTATACAGTGCGCTCAAGTTTGTAGTACAGACTCTGTACACTACAGTACCTGCATCTTTACTTGTTGAATTTCCGGACCGGCTTGTTCAACTTGCAGTCTCTCGCAGCTCGACCAGCTTACGGTGATGTCATTTTCTGACTCCAACTTTCCGCTGACCATAGACGCACCTGAATTTGTTCGTTACTTCAATGTGTTGTCAACAAATCCGAAATCTACACGTAATGCCATATGCGCCATGCATATAATATCAGTGATCATTTTTACGGCACGTTTGTTACCCGACAATGAGCGGAAACGATGCATCGGCTAAACTGTGATATGACTGCTTACGAAAATTATGCGGATGAGGCCTATTTTTCATAATATTTGTAACTCAAAGCGATTTGTGAGCAGCTGGACTGCCGATTTGGCAATAAGTGGTACGTAAAAGTAACCTGATGCTTTTCCTTGTACAAAAGTACAATAATGTTTAATTTTATTTAAAACAATCGGGTTTTTATTGACGGTCGACTTCCTGTAAAAGCTGTTACAACTCGGTATCAGTTGAAAGAAAATGGGATTCATGTTATAAAAACATCACTATAGTTGCGAGTTGGTCATTCTTATAAAATCTGCAAGGCTGCAGGCTGCAAGTAATAACATAACGTTGTAAATTTTTATTCTGTAGAGTAGTTCTTGTTTGAAGGGTGCACAATGGAATTATAAACCCAAAAATTTCATTGTTTGTTACATAGTGCAATAATCGTATTGTGCAGTTACTGCACCATGTACATACCAAAATACATATTATGTACTCACGAATCAGTACTAGGTGTACCATTATCAATATGTATTAACTGAAGTGATATACGACTACTACATTTTAATATGAATGTGTTATAATAATAACATGTTCTTTTGTATGCTGTACATGATGCGCTGTGTAGTACCGCATTACATCGGATGTACAATACTGTAGTACAATGTACTCTATCTTATACCGGTAGTATACAGAGCACTTGGTCAATTCGATAAGAATGCTTTTAAAGATAAAGAACAGGGCTGATGTATGTTTTTTTGTACCTATGAGTGTTTTGCCCATTATATGAAAACTAGCAAATTACGATATGATTTTACTCACTCTTTCATATGCTGTTTCTTGACTAAGCCTCGTTGTGTTATCATCCGCTAGACCACTAGTGTAACTTAAAATAGTGATTTTTAAAGCGCACTGGTCGGCTTTGGCGGTGCGTTGGCATAATTTCCAGTAATGCGATGGTAATGGTGGATCGAAATAGCTTCACCGCAGTGCTAAAATTACAGAGTTCGTTGCTGTGCTGTATCGAAGTAGGCTTTCCGCATTATGATACATAACCTTAATTCGATGAAAAGCCCTTAAGTCAGTCGCTCTGTTATTTCGTTGGTACACTGTGTTTAATTTTTGCAGGACTGATTCATAAACCAAGTTCTTGATTTTAGAAATTTACGGATGTCCTGATTAATCAACGTTAAGTAACGGAAGACCGAAATAATGTCCAATGTGCAATCTACCGAGTGGGACGTTTATTTCCCTGTACGCGAGCCTCCCTTAAATATCCAAAGCAGATTTCCGGAAATGCCACTTCTGAGGGCGATGCTGCTCCAGAACAAACCTCCATGCTCCATTCCGAATGCCAACACAGTTCAAGGCAACATGGTGCAACACCACCGAGCAGTAAGCCAACCAAATGCGATGCCACAACGAGACATTGGAATAAACAACAAATATACCCGCTCATCAATGGTTGCTGAGCATCACTCCGAAGCCACTCCTCGTTCGTTCGGTCAGTCGTGCTCGACATCGAGCATCCTAAAAACGCAGGGTGTTTTCGAAAAAATACCAAGAAACAGTAGTGTGCGCGACGTGTACGATATTGCCCCGGAAATAAGAAAGGAAATCGTTGATTTATTTGACAAAGGTCTTAACCGCTCTGACATAATGAAGAGGTTCTGTCTGTTCCCCTACCAATTCAAGCAGGTGTTGTACGCAGCTGGAAGAACGGGATTCATTAGAGAAGGGGATCAAAAACGGTATCAACTACTGCGACCTCTTGTCCTGAAGCGGTTCAAGCGGGGCTGGCCTTATCAAAAAATCAGCGAGCACGCCAAAACTAACATCGCGTTAGTGGACAGGATTTTAAGTAGTGCTGGCTTAATTCCAAAAACACAACCCGGACAGTCAGTTACGGCTGACGTTCCTGTGATAACCTCTTCGTTGCCATCCATAAAGCAGAAAAAGAATGAAGCCGTCTCCATTACGAAGCTGCAGGAGATGCTAGGAATTTCGGGTTGCCCAGAAGAAATAACTTCATTTACTAGACGACCGCCGAATCCAGCCGCAGAAGAAGCGCACCCGCCCAACTCGGCAAACAACGCAACAACGAACATGTTTTGGCTGGAAAAGCTTTTAAAGGAAGACGGTCTGACTCCAGAACTCCGACCCCGGTCGTTCGCTGCCGGCGACACTGTGGCAACCTTCCCCTTACAGTTCGCAGACCATAATGAAGCCGCTGCGATTACGGAGCGTGATGCTCGACTGCGGGATTTACTTAGCCCAGAAAAGCTGATTGATCCATGTACAATGACTGGCAACGGACACCATGATCCAGCCGCAGAAAACTGGTGTACACCAAGCCCCGGAAGCGAAGTTTGCGGTAGTACCGGCATTTTGCTAAATGACCGGCAGTGCAGCGAGTTATTCCCCATCGAAGAGGATGCAATGTTTTGCCCGAAAGAGGGCGATAACGCTTACGACCCGAATGGTATGTCCAAAGACATTTGCGTTTTTTTGGTAATTTCGTGTGCAGTGTACCAGGGTTTGCCAATGGCGAATATATAACCGGATAGCCTTTGAGTCAAGTATTTACTGTTATGTTACGCTGTACTAACCTTTATCAAACCGTTTCGTATTGTTCCGGTGTCACAACTCGTGATAAAGAATTTGCGTTAAATAAGTAGTATGCACAAATCGTCCACGTTCAGCAACAAACTCCCCAGAATTTGGTCATTTTAGTGCTGAAAGATCGTGCAAGAGCGGATATTGTGGACGTTGGCGTCGATATGAACATTGCTCCGGTGCAACCTCTGGGATGGCCCAGCATTACAGCAAACAGATGCATGGAAACTGCTCCAGAATTATCGCTGCTGCAGCCGGACAGCGCGAGCACGAGCGATCTTAGCCAAAGATTCCAGTGCCAGATCTGCCACTTGTCCTGGGACGAAGAGGAAGCATTTTTGTTACATTTGACAAACAAAGAACATGAACAGCTTTTTGCCATTAGAACATTCCTGTATTGTACAGGATGCCTTTTAGGACCCGCAAACCAGCTACGATGGGCAAACATATTGTTAAATACCAATCGGAAAGTACGCTGCAGAACTGTAAAATGCATTGTATTTCAAGTGTCCACTGATTGAATAGTTCCTAATATCCACTGAATAATTCGTTTATTGATTGTATTAGTTTTGATTGTATTGTTGTTTTCCTATCACCAAGTTCACTGCCACTTGCTGTTGTTCTGTTACTGCAGAGTAGTGCAAATACGAATGATGCGCGGTACATTTTCTATTTGTATTACTACTTGCATATAATATTATAAACAGAATTCTGATTGTAAAAAAAACTGTTTAGGTCTACGATGCATATTTGTCATCCATAGTACAGTATCTATGATAAGCTAATGGCAAATGGCTAGAACTGGGGAATATGTTTAAGGTACCTATGCTGCAACAGGTAGCATCCGCATAACATGGCGTGGACGTAAATTCAAGGTTATTGCGCTAGTGCATAGTCATACGATGCACTGGCATAGTACAATCCGATAAATTTCTGTTGCTGACGGAAATATATACAGCCCTGCTCAGCCAAGTTGGGGCAGTTATGTTAAATAAATTATAAAATAATTCAACGCGTAGCATTGCTTCTGTTTTTTTACTTTTCTAGCGTAACTTTTTATTGCGAATTTAGAAATAACAGAACCGCAGTTTTTTGAAGCAGCATTAGCGAGCCGAGCACTGATTCAGGGGACCAGGTAGTGGTTATTTTTTGTGTGCTTATAGTTGACTCTATAAAATATTCCCCAACCGATATTTTTTCGTGAACTTTTCTTGGGAACCGTTGAGGGCCAGAAAAGGTGTTTGCTGTCGGTTACCAAAAAAATCTTGAGCGAGCAGGGTTTGAGCTGACGCCCAAAGAAGTTGCATCTCCCATAGACCTGTATGTTAAAAATGACCCGTCGTAGAATATGGTTGCCTAGCTGAGGGATGTAGGTGGCCTTGGACTGATATTTTTTACAGACAAGACATGAGTCCTGTTAGTCAGTTTTGATGTACTGACAAATATCCAGCGCACCGGTGGGGAAACGCAAGGGCCGGGGCGATTGTAAATAACTCCGCCAAAGCAGATCGCAAAAAAAGACTACGCATGCCGTTTTATTTCGTTGCATTGAACTGTTTTAGGTTTTTTTATGAACGAAAGATTTAAAATTGACGATCAGTACGTTGTAAAAAAGATCATATCAAGAACGGTTGCCTGCGGCATTCCGCGACTGTACAGTGAGCTCGAAAAGAAGGTCACCCTCCACTTTGACAGTGCTCGCAGTCTAACTGAAAAGGTCACGCGGGCTTGATTGCAATTCATGCATGTTAGGCATGATTCACAAGAGGTTAGGATGACAAACAATCCAGACTCATCACCATTAGACTACAGCCTCAAATAAAAGGTTAAAAAAATTTCGCATGGGAGGAAGGCTAGCACTGTCCCCGGGTTGAGCAGCATTTTTATGCATGCCAGCTCTAGTTTTGACCTTATTGGAATTCGAAACACGCCCTCATTGTAGAAAAATTTAGTGTAAAAGATGCTGGAGACATCGGGCAACTATGTAAAAAATAAATAATTATTTATTTGTTTACGGCTGGCTTGTGGTAATTTTCTGAGAAAACTGCCCCAACTTGGCTGAGCAGGGCTGTATTACCAGTAAACGATTTTCCGGTGGAAAATTATTCATGTGCAAAGGAAATATTCTGCTGTCCGATATTAACGATCGTTGCCATTATTCGATCAAGGCCTTAAACCAGCTGAAGATAAGGAAAATGTCAATCTATCCGGCTGCTACGTTAGGCAGGTATTGTGCGCAGTTGAAAGAAAGCAAAATATTTAGAGAACGGGCCAAAACGGTGTGAAGCTTTGCGACCGGTTGTCGTAAAGCTGTTCGAGCAAGGCTTGTCTTACCTAACGATAAAGAAGCAAACAAGTACAAACATTTTTCTGGTGGGAAAGATTTCAATGGTGCTGTTTTAACTGAACCCGGACAACCGGTAGTTGCTAACGCCCCTGCAGCAATCTCCTCGTTGGCATCCACTTGGCAGAACAATAACGAAGTCATTCCCATTCCGTAGCAGGAACATGTGCTGGGAATATCGCGTCGTCCAAATATAAAAGCTTCGTTTACTGGACTTTTGCTTAATCCAGTTGCGGAAGGTGCGCCAGCGCCCGGCTCCGCAAGCGAATCGTCTGTCTGTACCAGTATTTCGCTCGCAGACCGGCAGTGTAAATCTAAATATACCACCACAGAGAATACGGAGCTTTGCCAGGATGAAGCCAACATTGCTAAAGGTCACTGTGGTAAGTTCAGTGAAATGTATTTCCCCTTACTTCAGGGGTAAAGTACCGTGATATTCACAATCACTAACAAAAGTAGTCAATGCAAATTTTGCAGTTTCGTATAGTCGGAAAACTTTTGGTTGTGAGAACGAGAGATTATTGTACAAAAAATGACCAATTAAAATTATTTTTTATGGAAAATTACCGACCATCACGATATTCAAATATTACTGTTTACAAATAATAATGAGCATGTTGTGTTTACGTCAGATAGCGTATAACTTGAATAATTTAAGCAGAAAAACAGTCACAGCGAAGTTTATTGCTATGACACAGCGGTTATAACTATTCCAGTAGACTTACAGTGGTTTACACTTATGTAACCACGAAACGCGCGCATTAGCTAAAATCAAAAATGTTAAAACACGAATGACAACATACGGCCGACAAAAATTGAAATTTATCAGTCGGCGGCCGATTGCCAGCCGGAAGTGGCAGTTTCAGATCAGAAAATTGTCTGCTTGCGCGCGCTTTGTGGTAACATAAGTGTAACACGTATGTGAAGTTCACTGTATGCTGACAACTTACGAGCTTGTATGGACAAGCTACCCAGAAAAATAACAGGATAGTAATTTTCACTTTTTTTTTAAAATTACGTAACGCTTTTTACCAAAAGTGGTCAACGAAATTCCTTGTCACTTTAGTGCCAGGAAATCTTAATGGAAACACTATGCTGGAAGTCGATGTCGATCAGACAGAACTATGCTCCGGCCAAAGAAATCATCCGGAAAAGGTGCACGGCTAAAGACTGGACTGGTAGGTAATTTCGTTAGATATTTACACTGAATGTTGAAAAAAACGGCCTATCGGAATACGCATACTGGATGTCAGTCTGGAACTAACTGACCTATTTTCGTAAAGCTATGAACACATTGTAATTGATATATTCGCCAGTTTTCCTACAGAGAACTGACAGAAGTACTTAAAACTTAAGTTTTTAGTGGACTGGTAACTTTTTTGCAGACCAGCGGAAACATTGATTACTATTCATGTATCCCCTGCTATAACCTTTTATTCTTTAATACAATATTACTCGTAGAAATCAGATCGGCATTTTTTAAAATTGCCGGGAAGTTGATGCTGGGTGTATGCTGCTTCGGTAAAGAGCTGCATGCCGGAGTTTATAACGACTATAGGAACGCAAGATATTTTTACGGGGAGGAAATACGTACTAATGTTAATCTAACCTTTACTAACGGCTCCATGATGCGTTCATTTAGTAAAATCATATTTTGGTTTAATGCCGGCTAGGTGATTATTATCAATGATTTTGGATATGCTTACGTGCTGTGAGCCTATGACTAAAGTTTATTTAAGTAATAACGTATGAACAAACTTAGGCTTCTTGACCGAAAACTTGAACAAGCGAGAAGCAGGTCACATTAATTTTTTTATTTTAAGAAGGGCACACGAAAAGCTGTTGCACTAGATACAAAACGGTGCTATTCCAAATAAAAAATTACCAAGCATCGCGCCCGATTATTGAATTGTATATACCTTTGCAATTTACAAAAGCAATACAGGAACGAACGGGTAATGATTTGTTTCTTGTTGTACTCTGTACATGTAAATGGATTTGGGCATATAAAACATGCTAAGATTGTTTTGAATTTAGCACCAAAAAATCATAAAAAAAGGACATTCCGGAATTCGACGTCGAAATAGACTTTGTATCCAAAGCTACCTCTGTCCAAAGAAAGCAGCATGGATACAACATCGAATATGCCAATTCAGGCTGTAATTAGCCTGGTAAATCCGTGGCCAACCGTTTCGGAAATATTTTTCCCTTCCGATGGGCTTCCGTTAACAAATCCATCCATAAGTGGCCGTAGCGCAGGATATCAGTGCCAGATTTGCCGGAAACCCTGGTGCTGAGGGGACTCGCTATTGTTATATTTGGCTGAAAAAAGCACAAACAGTTGTTTGCCTCTAAAATTCTTTTTTTTTGTACAGAAAGTAAATTTAAAACCGAAAGTAGACAAAAATGGTTTATTATTAGTTATTGTTAGTTACCACATTAGGAATTACCAATCGCAATAGATGCTGGGAGATCCTAAAATGCATTATGTTAAAATTATCCATTGAGATATTTGTGGGAATTGAAACTGCTTTTATGTTGTACAGAGAACAAGTGTCAGTGGTTGCTAACATACACGTTGGATTTTTATTGGCGCACGAGTACTTTGCCGGGCTCGCATTGCCCTCAATGGCTCCAATTTACTGTGCTGATTTTTTCCATGTTTGTAATTCATCGGAAGCGGTAGTACTGCACTCTGTACTTGCTTAATTACTTTTACCATGGCGATTCTAGCCTGTAAATACAGAGCGCCACGCGCCACGATCACTTCCGGTTCGCTGTTCCGCGTGATGACTAGCGAAGCCAGTGAATTATGTATGGCTCGTGGTTTCAGTGTGCACTCGTATTATACTCCGTAGGAAATCAGAACAAACAATCTATATCTCAAATGAAAACGTCAAAAATTCTAAGATTTGTATGGTTTGGTTTAACCAGCCGTTAGTCGAAAGAAATGTCGGCTCTTGACATGGTTTGGGCCGTCTTTAGTGAATTACTCTTAGACAAACTTGTCGAATAAAGCAATCGCAATGTACGGCTGTGGCAGCTGCTGTAAGCCGTTCGGTCTGCCCCTTGATTCATCTTACGGGACCAAAATCTCATAATGCACTTGTTTGATTGTCAGATATAGGTTTTGTAGCTGTCCTTAAACAGAATAGATGCTCTTACTTCGAGCAGCAGACAGGGTGCAGTTATACGTGGGCAGTGTATTCTGAGTGGACATCACAAGAGTCGACACTACTGATATCAGTACGATAGTACTGTATAA